ATTGAAAAGAATGAGTATTCTGATGTTGGCTGGAGACTATCTTATATGTGTCAATTGGATCCTGTTAGTTGATGTATTGTTGAATTCTTCTATATTCTTGCTAATTTTCTATTTAATAACTCTAGCAGTTGCTAAATATTTGACATTGCCAGTTATATTTGTGTTTTCTATTTTCTAATTATCTTCCCACTCTATTTTTATTTGATTTGTTTTCTAGCTATGTTGTTTTGTGCATATTTTCTAATGTCCTTTTTTCCATCTAGTAAAACTATTTGCTCTCAAGTGTACTTTTTAAAATTAATGTTTGCATGATATAGCTTTTCCTATCCCTTTGCTTTCAGTCTACATACATTATTATATTTTAAGTTTTAAGTTTTTTTTAACTAGTAGGTAGATCATGGTTTTTTCCTGCTCTGTTAATCTCTACCTTTTCACTCATCTATTTAGACCATGTACTTTCATGTAATTATATGTTAGAGCTTAGGTGTGCTATTTTATTACTTGCTTTCTGTCATTATATTTTTTAATTTGTTTTTTTTCTTCCCTTTCTAATAGATTACGTGAACATTTTTTAGAATCTTTTATTTCAGTGCTTTTGAGAGTATATTTTTTGCATAGCTTTATTTGATGGTTGCTGTTATTATGTTTTATATATACAAATTACAGTAGTATAGTTGACGTTTGAACAATATGGGTTTGAACTCCATGGGTCAATTTATATGCATAATTTTTTAGATAAATATAGTACAGTACCATAAATGTATCTTATTTTATGATTTTCTTAACTTAATATTTTCTTTTCTCTAGCTTACTTTATTGTAAGAATATAATACATATAACATATAAAATGTGTGTTAATTGACTTTTTGTTATCAGTAAGGCTTCTAGTCCCCAGGTGGCTATTACTAGTTAAATTTTTGGGGAGTCAAGAGTTATATACAGGTTTTCAACTGTGGGGCAGGGGGTGGAAGTTGGCACCCCTAACCCCTCGGTTGTTCAAGAGTCAACTGTATATTGGTAACAACATTTTAGTACCTTGAGTATTTTTGCTAGTTTCTCCCACTCTGTTGCTCTTTCTTCTTTTCTGTTTTTCTAAGTTTCATAGTTAACTCCTCTCCCAAATGCTCCTTTTTTTTGTTTCATAGATGCCAGGTGCTATAGCTGAATGGTGGTGTTAGTGGAAGTCTAGGCTTCCCTCTCACCTTCTGCTGTCTCCACTAGTGAGGGAAGCCAAACGCTGCCTGTTACCATGAGGCTAAAGTGAAAGTTCAACAATATACTCAGTTACTGCTGATACCACCACTAAGGAGTCTTGCAGCTTGATTTTGGTTTTGGTTGGCAGAAAGTAGACTAGGCTTCCCACTGGCTCCCAGCTAGTACCAGGAGGCATGTAGAACTCTAGGCTCTCTACTTGATTTCCATGGCACTACTGGATATGGGCTCAGTTTTTTCCATTGGATTTGGCAGGAGTAGGATCGGCACCTGGGTGGTTCAGTTGGTTAAGCATCTGACTCTTGGTTTCGACTCAGGTCATGGTCTCAGGGTCGTGGGATTGAGCCCTGTGTTGCAGAGTCTGCTTGAGATTAAATCCCTCTCCCTCTGCCCCCGCCCCCGCCGTGTGCATGTGTGCACTCTCTCTCTCTTTCTTTCTCTCTCTCGCTGTCCCCCTCTCTCTCAAATTAAATAAATAAATAAAATCTTTAAAAAGAAAATAGAAGAAACCCTCGTTTTCCTGGTCATTTGGCTAGGGAAAGTAGGTTTGTTTATTTGTTTGTTTGTTTTATGGGCTCCACGTGGAGCCCAACACAGGGCTTGAACTCACAGCTTAACTGATTGAGCCACCCAGGCACCCCATGAAAGGAGGCTTTTCTTGGCCTGTTTTCATCAGCGCCTATTGGCATTTCTGGGCTGTAGGAATCTCTGGAACTAAATCTTTGATGTATGGGAGATGAAAACAAAACTGATGACTCAGAGTAGAAAATAACCTATTCATTTGGAAATAAATCCATTATATGTGGTCAACAGGTATTTGACAAAGTTACCAAGATGCATTCAGTGGGGAAAGAATAGTTTCTTCAACAAATGGTGCTTGGACAACTGAATACCCACATGCAAAAGAATGAAGTTGCACCCCTATCTAGGTATATACCTACCATATATAAAAATAACCTCCAAAAGGTGAAAGAACTACATGTTAAGAGCTAAAACCATAAAACTTTCAGGAGAAAATACATAGGTAATTTTTCATGACCTTGGATTTGGCAATTAATTCATAGGTATAACATCAAAAGAAATAAATGAATAAATTTGGCTTCACAAAAATTTAAAACTTTTGTGTATCCAAGTATATGATCAAGACACCTACAAATGAGAGAAAATATTTGTATCCAGAATATAAAGAACTTATAGAACTCAACAACAAAATGATTATCAACCCAGTTTTTAAAATGGGCAGAGAGGCACCTGCCTCTCAGTTGGTTAAGTGTCTAACTCTTAATTTTGGCTCAGGTCATGATCTCAGGGTTGTGGGACTGAGCCCCCCCACATTAGGCTCCACGGTGAGCATGGAGCCTGCTTAAGATTCTCTCTCTCCCTCTCCCCCTCCCCCCCAAAAGAAAATAAAATAGGCAAAGAACTTGATTAGACATTTCTCCAAAGATCTACAAATGACCAATAAGCACATGAAAAGAATCCTCAATATCATTAGTTTTTATGGAAATGCAAATCAAGACCACATTGAAGTACTACTTCATACCTACTGGGATGGCTTTAATCAAAAGAATAAAGAATAACACATGTTGACAAGAATTTAGAGAAATTGGAATTTCACACATTGCTGGTGGGCATGTAAATTGCTACAGCTGCTATCGTCAGGAGTTTGATGGTACCTCAGAAAGTTAAACATAATTTCCATATGATCCATCAATTCCACTTTGTACCTACCCAAAAAAACAGTATTCTTGGTAGCATGATTGACGGTACCCAAAAAGTGGAAACAATCCAAATGCCATCAACTGAAAAATTGTGATATATCCATATAATGGAGTATTATTTAACCATTACGAAAGGGAAACTAAGGGTGGATACAACATGGATAAACCTTGGAAACAGTATGCTAAGTGAAAGAAGCTACACACAAAAGGTTACATATGTTTGGTTCCATTTATATGAAATGTCCATAATAGATAAATCCATAAAGACAGGAAGCACATTAGTGGTTGCCAGGTGGTGGGGAGGGATACTCTTTAATGGGAATGGTATTTGTTTGGCATGATGAAAATGTTTTGGAACTAGATAGAAGTGATGCTCGCACAGTATTGTCAGTGTACTAAATGCCACTAATTTGTACAAAATGGTTGGTTTTAGATTATGTGAATTTTACCTCAATGAAAAGGAATGGAAAGAAGGGTGGCTCAGTCATTGAGCGTCTGCCTTTGGCTTAGGTCAAGATCCCAGAGTCCTGGAATTGAGCCCCATGTCGGGCTTCCTGCTCAGCAGGAAGCCTGATTCTCTCTCTCCCACTCCCCCTGCTTGTGTTGCCTCTCTTGATGTGTCTCTCTGTGTCAAATAAATACATAAAATCTTAAAATAAATAAATAAATAAAATAAATGGAAAGAAAAAAGGAGTTCCTTAGCCAGGCTTCCACTTTCTTTTCACCTTTCAGAGTTTTCTTATTTTTAATGTTTTTTGTTTCTTTGTTTCACTTAGTTGGAGGTATAGGGAGTAGATTTCTCCCTACTCCATCTTGTCTCTAGAAGAATACGTTAGACTCACCTTAGTAGCTTTTTAAAATACTAATGCTTGATCTCCATCCTGGACTAATTTAATGAGAATGGGAGAAGGGTGGGGGGGAAGGTAAGTTGCGTCAGTATAAAAGATATTTACATGTTATTCGAATGACAACTACCATTGTGAAGCACTCTTTGAAGCGCATATTTTCTGCCACTGATGAGTTTTGCAAGTAGCTTTTTTTTCTTTTATATATATTTTTTATTATGTTCAATTAGCCAACATATAGTATATCATTAGTTTTTTTTAATTTAATTTTATTATGTTATGTTAATCACCATACATTACATCAGCCTGGCCAATAAAACATGAAGGAAAGTTCTTTGTAAGATAACGTTACAAAGAAGGTTGTTTTTTTGTACATTGTCATGTATTGGTATGAATTTTGAAATTGCTGTGACCATCTTGTTAACAGCCTACAAAGACAGTTAATACCAGGAATGCATCACTTTTCAGTCATGATTTAAATGGAATAATAAAAACAATAAGATACATGATAAAGATATATGCATGAGTTAATGTGGCAATAATATACAATTACAAAAATATGGTGATAATAGCCTGAAAGCAGAATCCATTTCAATCAAAGGTTTTCCTTAATGCCATTTATTTATCTTTTTTATTATTATTATTTTAGAGAGTGGGGGCGAGAGAGAGAGAAAGAGAGAGAGAGAGAAAGAAAGAAAGAGAGGTGGGGGAAAGGGGCAGAGGGAGAGGGAGAGAGAGAATCTTAAGCAGGCTCCACACCCAGCACAGAGCCTGAAGCGGGGCTAAGTCTCACAACCCTGAGATCATAACCTGAGACAAAATCAAGAGTCAGATGCTTAACTAACTAAGCCAACCAGGCAGGCACCCCAATGTCATCATATTTATTATATTGCTCTCTACACCATCTGAACTAAAGTTACACTGTGGTGTTGGTTTTTTTTTTTTTTTTAAGTTTATTTTTTTAGTAATCTCTACACCCAATGTGGGTCTCAAACTTATGACCCAGAGATCAAGAGTTGCATACTCCACCGACTGAGCCAGCCAGGATCCCCAAGTCAGACTGATTTTTAAGTAGTATATAACATGTAAACTCTTTATCCCTAATCAAATCATTGTTGTGGAAACCGTTGTCAATTTAATAGAAGAGGACAAAAGTTCAGGAGCTCAAAAATCTGAAAGTATATTGCCTACCAGTTTTGATTTCCTTTTATTTTTCTTCTAGAAACATGATCAGGGGCAAGTTCTGTTGGATATAGTCTTCAAGCATCTTGATTTGACTGAGCGTGACTATTTTGGTTTACAGTTGGCTGACGATTCCACAGACAACCCAGTAAGTTTAAGCTGTTGTATTTTGTTTCATTTCACTTTTTCTCTCTGTTCATAATATAAAGTTCTTTCCGATTTATAATGTTTACTAATCTAATTAGTGAGGAGTTTTTTTAAAAGGATTTAATTAGAATGATTACAGGTAATTCTTTTGCCTTTGTTCGTCATTTTCTTGATGTTTTAATTTGTAAAGTTTTTTCCTTAAGGTTTTCATAATTATAAGTCAGTTTAAATCTAGTGCCAGTTTCCTCATTTATGTGTCTCAAAAACTGAGATGTAAATCTAATTCATGATACTTGACTGAAAGAGAAAACTGGGCATAAAGGTTAAAATATTAATGCAGTATTAAAATATTGAAGTAAAATATTTAAAAATGTTAATGTATCTTAGTCTTACATAAATTAGCCTCCATTAAAATGAAATCATACTTTTTTGTGGCATTCATGGCAATCTTTTTTTTTTTTTTTAAAGATTTAATTTATTTATTTGACAGAGAGAGACATCAGAGCAGGGAGCCTGATGCAGGGCTTGATCCCAGGACCCTGGGATCATGACCCGAGCCGAAGGCAGACGCTAAACGACTGAGCCACCCAGGCGCCCCAATGGCAATCTGTTTCTAACTAAAATTCTTAATTTGTTAGATGTAAATTTTCCAAGTAGGAAGATTCAAAGGAGACCCTCCCAAATGAGATAGAGATTAAATATCACAGCTCTAAATTTCTTAGGCATTAAGTTATTTAGATTGTCACTAATTCTTTAATAGTTGGAATCATGATTGTTTTTGTTGGAAAAAATCACATTACAGACATAGAAGATAGCATGTGATGAGTAACAGAAATGTTGAATTCTTTGAACATTTATATGCTTATACAGATAGGGCCTTTTACAAAAGAATATGGTACTCTTCTTGATTAGTACAGGAGAAGGGCTATTTTGAAGGAGACCTTTTGTATATATAGTTTAGAAAATTGGAATCAGTGCTTTAAAATCAGTTTGTAAGGGCATATTAATAAAATGGCTGTCGAAAATAAACTCTTATGTGGAAAGTAAGTTTCTCTCTATCTCTTGTTCTGTCTCTCTCAGTCGGAATCCTAGGTTTCTGAATAGAATGGTTAACGGGAAGTAAATATGAGATGTTAAGTATTACTTTTTCTTGGCATCATTTACTGGTTTTGTATGAAAAACTGAGGATGATGTGGATAAAAGAAAGCAAGAGCCAGCTAGTCTTAGTGCAAAGAAGTCCTTTTGTACTGAACTGAAATAAAAACAAATTTTCCCTATAAGTTGATGCCTTCACCAGGGGCTAGAGCTTCTACACGGGCCTAGAGGAGGAATATTATTTCTTGATGAATAAACAAATGTGAAAATGGAAGTAAGTAGAAATGTCAGTGATGCAGTCTTTCCCAGAAAGTTAAATTGTGAACCAGGCAAATTCCCCAAAGGTGTCTGCTATACCTCACTTAGTGTAACATTGAGCTAAAAAAAAAAAAAAAAAATTCTTAGATTATCTTGCTGACAGTTCTAGGCCCAACCCTCTAGCTGGAAGCCTATCTATAGATTGATCAGAGAAGTGATAAGACAACAAAGAGCAGCTACTCACCACCATTGTCTCTGCCATGAGTGTGAAAAACCATTACTTGTGACACAATATTCTAGAAGGGCTAATACTGAGATCACATATATTATAAGAGATAAGAAATCCTGTTACATAATTTGTATACAGGAAGACATTTTTATTCTAAGGCAGTTACAGCAGGATGAATATGGGGAAGCAGAGGTATTTTTAGCTGGGTTGATCTTTTTGCAGTCCCCTGCTTTTTCTTATTTTGTCTTACTTTTCTATCTTGAGCTTTCCTTCCCAAATAAGATATATTCCTAGGTCCAAGGGTCCCATTGCTAATGATCTAAAATAATTCTTCCCCAAAATTTAGAATTAAAATTTCAAGGACCCAGAAGAAGCCTTAGAAATTATCTTGTCTAACACCCCATTTTTCTTTTTTAAGATTTTTTTTTAAATTCATTTATTTGAGAGAGAGAGAGAAACAGCATGAGAGGGGAGAGGGTCAGAGGGAGAAGCAGGCTCCCCGCTGAGCCGGGAGCCCGATATGGGACTGGATCCCAGGACTCTGGGATCATGACCTGAGCCGAAGGCAGTTGCCTAACCAACTGAGCCACCCAGGCACCCCTAACACCCTATTTTTCATGAGAAATTATCCCAATCCAATGGGATAAAGCCCAAGTTACTTGCTCACATTAATGAAACTAGTCTTGGGTCTCACAGCTCCCCATGTAGGTCTTTCCCACAGTACTACAATTTCAGTATTTATTTATTTATTTAAAGATTTTATTTATTTATTTGAGAGAGAGAATGAGAGACAGAGAGCACGAGAGGGAAGAGGGTCAGAGGGAGAAGCAGACCCCCCGCTGAGCAGGGAGCCTTATGTGGGACTCAATCCCGGGACTCCAGGATCATGACCTGAGCCGAAGGCAGTCGCTTAACCAACTGAGCCACCCAGGCGCCCTACAATTTCAGTATTTAAATATTCAGAAGAATCTGTGAAATGCCAAAATGCCATGGAAGGGCCCGTAGACAGCACAAATGTTGTAAGTTATGTCCTGTTTCTGATTGTCAATATGAAAATACATCAAGACTCTGAGGATAATTAATGGACTGACAGATGCCATTCTGAAAAAGAGAAAGGAGTAAGGGGCTAAAATTTATAAAACATCTATTATGGACTTGTTTATAAACCAAATTCTCAATTTTATGAATGTATCATTAAAATATTTTTAGGATGGAAAACTGAGACTTAAAAAACTTGTCTAATGACGTAGATAATTAAGTAGCTGAGAAAGGATTTGAACTTGCATCTGGCTCCAAAGTGTATACTCTCCCTACCACAATATACTGCTTCTCAAGAGATGATGATATATAGATGCACAGGAGTTATAAAAATGAACATGTTGAGGAGAGGAGGTATCCATGCAATAAAATTGCCAGCATAGATCAAAAGGAATTTGGTTATTTCTGTAAGAATTAATCCTTGTCAGTCCTTAGTTCAGATTTTTTCCATTTCACTGTTTAGTTAATATATACCTGTATATATGTATGTATATATTTTTAAAGATTTTATTTATTTTTTTGAGAGAGAGCAAGAGAGGGAGAGAGAGCACAGAGAGAGAGGTAGAGGGAGAAGCAGACTCCCCACCAAGCAGAGAGCCTAATGTAGGGCTCAATACCAGGACCCCGAGATCATGACCTGAGCCGAAGGCAGACACTTAACCGACTGAGCCACCCAGGTGCCCCTGTATAAATGTGTGTGTGTGTATGTATATATATATATATTAGGTATATATGTATGTGTTGTGTGTGTGTGTGTGTGTGCGCGCGCGCATAATAGTTTTAGAGGATAAGAGCTAATGTTCCCTTAGGCACATAAACATTGAAATTAATTTAATTGGATTTATAATTGATAAACTTAAAAAGCACCAAATGTTTTATTGTGAACTTGTACATAACAAATATGGACTCACAGTAGGTTATCCTTTTCTTTACAATCTTTCTGGTAAGGAGTTCCAGTATAACAAACAAAATTACTTAAAAGCTTTGTCTTTTCAAAATTTCTTGTTTCCATTAAAACCTATTTATCACAGCTTTAGCTCTTAGCATAATGTATGGTTTAATAGTAGTAGCCAGTGAATGTTTATCGAGTGTGCAAAATAATGAGTAATGTGGTTACAATTCATTATGCATAATTTCTTTATAAGCACTTAAAGTGGCTCTTCCTTATTGGCCTTTATCAGGATGATATTCATTGGAACCCTCCAATTACATTATTCGTGTGCATTTATTTTTTTTGTTTTTTTTTGGGTTTTTGTCCCTAAAGTGACTTAGTGTCCATTAGTGTGGGACAAAGTAGATTTATCAACTGTTGTTGACTTGTTCTTTCTACAGTTTCATCCTTCTGATACTTTGTGTTGTGGTTAGGATCTTTTACTGTTTACTACCATTTCTATATTCCTTAACCTTGTGGCTTTCAAACCTAACATATCACAATCACCTGGATACTTCTTAAAATACAGATATCTGGGCCCTATGCCTAGAGTTTTTGATTCAGAAAGTCTGGTGTGAAGCTCAATAATTTACATTGCAAATAAGTTCCGCTTATAATAATGCTGCTAGTCCAAGGAATCATATTTTGAAAATCACTGCTCTAACCCAATAGGCTAACTAAGATTACTGAAGTAAGAAATAATTCATACCGAATAGCTTGTTCTGTTTTTTGGAGATTCTTTTTACACACTCAAAATTCTTGAATTCATCGGGTTTGAGAAACTATAGGAAAAGTCACATAGAGGATGACTCTTATTTCAACAAGCTGCATTTTAGGACAATATGATTGCTAAAATGTTATCTCATATATCTCAATATATCTCTCATATTTTATATTTCATCTGTTTTACTGTAATATCTTAGGCTTTTACTACCTATTGTATAAACCTCTTTGGTAGTCTGCCGAATGTTGGATTTTTTTTCTGGTCTCTTTTAACCCTGTTCCATTTTGGGAGGGAATGACAGATTTGGGGTGCAGAAAAGTGTTTCAGAGACAATCAGCATCATTTGTAATGTTCCAGAATGAGGATGAGGAATGTTGTATTTGAGGAACTGAAAGAAAATTTTAATAATCAATGGAATACAGAGCAAGGGGAGAATGTGGGTCTAAAATGAAGTTTGGATAGTATGCCAGATTATGAAATACTTTTTAATCTGTAACATTGTACTCACCTAAATGTTTATTTATACAAGTTACATAAGACTTGTGTTTTAGACATACCACCCTGGTTACAGTGGCATGTAGAACTGCAAACTGAAGGGGGCGCCTGGGTGGCTCAGTTGGTTAAGCGACTGCCTTCGGCTCAGGTCATGATCCTGGAGTCCCGGGATCGAGTCCCGTATCGGGCTCCCTGCTCAGTGGGGAGTCTGCCTCTCCCTCTGACTCTCCC